GAGTGTGGTATTGGACCGCAGTAAACTCCTCGTGGGAATCCTCAAGGAGGTTGAGAGAGCCAAGAATAGGATCAAGGGAGCGGGTATGCATGCGGGGGAGGAGGAAAGGAGAGGAGCGGGTAGTTGCTCGCCGCCGCTGCTGCTGCTAGTGCTGCTGGAGCCCCTGCTGCTGTTGTGGCTGCTGCTCCTCCCATTGCTGCTGCCCCTGTTGCTGCCCTTGCGGCTGGTCCAGCTGCTGCCCCTGCGGCTGTCCCTGCTGCTGCCCCTGCTGCCGCTCCGGCGGCTGCTGCTGCTGCTGCTGCGGCTGCTGTTGCTGCTGCTGCTGCTGCTGCTGCTGCTTGTGCTGCTGTTGCTGCTGTTGCTGCTGCTGCTGTGGTTGCTGCTGCTGCTGCTCCTGTGGCGGAGGAGGAGGGGAGGAGGGGGAGGAGGGAGGGGGGCCGTGGAGTGGGCCGGGGATGCAGGTGTGGCAGGATCGTAAAAATTCAGCAGATGAGGGCGGAGGGAGTGGAGCAGGGAGAGGTGGTAGAAGGGGTGCAGGAGGGAGGAGGGGAGGAAGGACGGTATCGGTCCAGGTAAGGGGACGAGTAGGGGGAGGGAGGGGGTCTGGTGGTGGAGTAGAGTAGTAAGGGGTGGTTTCGTCAAAGACGACATCAATGCTACGAATGAGGCGCCCGGAGGGAGGGTGGAGGAAGAGATACACAGGTGAGTCGCGGTTGTGTCCGAGGTAGACACACTCGAGGGCGCGAGAGGCGAGCTTGCCGTGGGTGCGATTAGGAGGAGGAATAAGGACGTATACCTTATAGCCCCATACACGAAGACCTACAGCGTCAGGTTTGGTGCCTGACTAGAGTTCCGTGGGGGTGGTGATAGCATGTTGGGGATGGGAGTGAAAGTTGAGGAGGAGGGCAGCATGAAGTAGAGCATACCTATAGGGAAGGAGGGGTGGAGGCGTGAGCGAGGAGACAGCGAGCGATTTTGGTGATTTTGCGAATGCGGCTTTCTGCGACGCCGTTCTGCTGCGGGGAGTGGGGAAGGGTGTGAGTCTGTTGGATGCATAGAAGGCGCAGTAGTGGGAGAGAGTGCGATTGAGGAATTCACCTCCACCGTTGGAGTGAAGGCGGCCGATGGGACGTTTGAAGTGGGCTCGGCATTGCTCTGCCCAGTTGATGATTACAGTCGGCGCCTGGTCTTTCGTGTGGAGGAGGAAAATGGAGGAGTAGCGGCTGTGATCGTCAACCAGAACCAGCATGTAGCGATGGCCTTGGCGTGAGCGGGTGGGGGAAGGTCCCAAGAGGTCCATGTGGACAACGTCAAGTGGGGCAGGGCAAAGGATGGGTGGCTGTAAAGAGGCGACTGTTTGAGTTTGCCGTGGATGCAGGAGGGGCATGGGGGGGCCGGAGAGGAAGGGAGGGGAGGAAGAGTGGGAGGGAGGCTGTAAAGGAGTCGAGAGGTGACGGCAGCGCGGAGAGTGGCGAAGTTGGGATGGCCGAGTCTGTGGTGTAATAGTACAGCGGGGTGGGAGAGATTGTCCAAGGTGGAGGGGGTTGGAGCGGGTGAGGGTGGGATGGAGGTGGGGGGAGGTGGCGGAGTGGGAGTTGGTGGGGGAAAGTGGGGAGGATCAGTGGAGGTACCAGCGCGGGTAGTGACATGGCAAAAGGATGGCCATGGGGTGCGGAGAGTGTAGAGGCGAGTGCGGGGGCAGAGGGGAATGAGGTCGCAGTAGGTGGCGTTACCTGGATAGACGGCAGTGATACCTGCACTTTGGAGTTCCCAGTGGGAGATGAGGCTTTTACGGAGGGTGGGGATGTGGAGGTCAGTTACCTTACCAGAGGGAAAGATTGTGCAGGGGAGAGTGGAGAGGTGTGTGCGTGGGATAGTGAAACTGTTGTCAGCACCGTGAACCTGAGTGGGAAGAGGGAGGAGTTTGAGTGTACCAGCATCCTTGAGAGCAGTCTCAGTGGCCCCACTGTCAAGGACAAAGTCCAGAGTGGGTGAGGAGGAGGAGGGAAAACTGAGTACTGGAAGGTAGTCTCATTTATGTTGGATGTGTACATGGAGGAAATAGATGGTGAGACAGCAATATTGCCGAGGAAGCTATCCTGAGTGAGGGGGGCGGCAATGCTACTAGGGGTGGAGCACCCCAAAAGGGGGCGGGGGAGGTCTGAGCGGCTATGGCTGCTGTGCCAAAGTTTAGCTGCTGCTGCTGCCAGGGAGCGGTGCTGGGTCCCCATTGCTGGTGGGGGTTAGGTCTCCTCGGATGCTGCTGCAGTGGTGGCTGCAGCTGCTGCTGCTGTTGGAACTGCTGCTGCTGCTGCTGTTGCTGTTGCAGGAGATGCTGCTGGTGAAGATTGAGGAATGGCGTGGGGGGAGCAAGGAGGCGGAGGTGGGCAGGGAGGTAAGAATGGTTGGTTTGGATGTCAGTAATGGAGGGACGCGGAGTGATGGTGCCCCAGTGGAGAGGGGTGCTGACGTTACCCCGTGCGAACCAAGCATCGTCAAGGGCCTTGAAGCAGGTGCCAGGGGGATGATTGGTTTGACCGCAGGGTGTTCCTGCCCGGGGACCGTAACGGCGGACATAGGTGCAGGGCGAGAGAGTGCCAGGGCGACTTCCGCGGCCTCCAAAAGCAGTGCTGCTGTTTCCTTGACCGCTGCCTCCCTTGCCCCCCCCTCCCTCTTTGCCGTTACTTTTGGGCTGCTTGCGTGGCTGTGTGGCGTGGAGAGAGGAGGAGGAGGGCTGGGATGAGGCGAGGTTGACGACAGGGGTGCGAAGTTTAAATTCGATATCACTGATCCACTGTTCAACAGAACTGAGATCAGCCATGGGGTTGAAGGCGGGATTCATAGTCCGGGGTGAGGTTGAAGAGGAGGCGATGGATTTGGAGGGGTTCGGAGAGGCCGGCTTGGCGATCCAATATAGTCGACTGCGCCGTCACAGATAGCGAGGGTGATGGAGAAATATTTTTGGAAGAGAATGTCAACCGAACTGATGTCGCGACGCTCGAACATAGCATGAAGCTCTGTCCAGATCACCGAGACACGGAGTTCCCTAGCCTGGAAGCGGCGCATGAGGGAGTCAGGGAGAGCCCCAAGGAGAACGGTGCAGTCAGCAGCGGACCCGGCGATGAGCTTCGGAGTGAAGGATGCCATCTCTTCATTGTATTTGGCGACGACGACTAGGTGGGCGTTGCGCCCGGCGAGCGCCTGGGCGTTGTGTCCGGTGAGCGCCTGGGCGTAGTCGTCTGCCGCGGTGTCGTAGTCAGCTTTATGGATGAGGTATTTGCAGCGACGAAGAAGAAAGACTGCGTCTGCAGTAGGTTGTTGCGTGGGGTCTGTGGTGATCTAGAGTTCGGGTTCAGGAGGAGGAGGGCCAGGAGAGGGAGGGAGAGGAGGGGTGTCACCGGGGTGGTCAGGTTCGGTGGGGGGAAGGGCATGGAGGTGGCGGAGGAGGACATCGAGGACGCAATAGGGAGGAACTCACGCGTCTTTGAGGACACGTCGGACACTGCCGACGAAGGAGTGTCAGTTGATGGCAGACTTGTCAGCGGCGAGTAGCAGTTTATCAATAAAGAAGGTGTCTATCGGAGGAGGAAGAGGTGAGGAGGAGGGGATGGGGTTGGCCATGAGGGACGGCTACGGGTAGACCCGTAGTGGTCAGGGAAGATCGTGGGGAGTGGCGGCGTGGTGAAGCCGTGGCAGTATGAGCGCGGAAACGGCGCTGAGATTGCGGCCGCTGAGGGGAAAGGCGCGGGCGAGGCTGCGGCGACGTAGGCGTGGAAGGGGCAGCGAGGCCGCGGAGGGGAAGGGCGCGAGTGGCGGCGGCAGGTGGGGCCGGGGTGGGACAGGCGCAGGAGCAGCGTGGAGGCCGCGGAGGGACGGGCGCAGGCGGCAGCGGCAGGTGGGGCCGCGGCGGCGTAGGCGCGGAAGCGGCGTGGAGGCCGCGGGGGGGGGGGGGGGGGGGGGGGGGGGGGGGGGGGGGGGGGGGGGAGGAGAATAGCACGGGCAGCGGCGGCAGGTGGGGCTGTGGAGGCGAAGTGGAGGCCGCGGAGGGGATGGGCGCAGGCGGCGGCGGCTGGCGAGGCCGCGGCGGCGTGGGCACGGAGGCGGCATGGAGGCCGCGGAGGGGGGGAATGGCGCGGGCGGCAGCGGCTGGTAAGACCGAGGCGGTGCTGGCGCGGATGCGGCGATGAGTCCGCGGAGGAGACAGGCCCGGGCGACGACGGCTGGCGAGGCCGCGGCAGCTGAAGCGCGGAGGCGGCGTCGGGGCCGCGGAAGGGATGGGCGAGGGCGGCGGCAGCTGGCGAGGCCGCGGCGGCTGAGGCGCGGAAGCGGCGACGGGGCCGCGGAAGGGATAGGCGTGGTCGGCGGCGGCTGGCGAGGCCGCGGCAGCGGACACGGGGCTGCGGTGGGGAAGGGGTGCTCAGGCGTGGGGGAAAGGCGGCGGGATGGCCGTGGGAAAAATATTGTGCGGGGAGAACGCCGGGGGTTGCTACGGCCGGGTGGGCCCTTGAGAATTTTGAAGGGGAGAAGGCCTAGGATTGGTAGCTCTAAACCATGTGGGAAGTGAAGTTAGGATTGGAAAGTGATGAATAGACTAAGAACAACAGGGGTATACATAGCTGAAGTTGGGAAGTGAGTTGGATGCTAAGCTAGGTTGGCATTATTGGACCCCAACCAAGAAGTTGGGTTGGGGGATTATTGGTGGGGTCCAATAATGTTGGCCAAGTTGGGGTTGGGCCAACATTATTGGAGGGAGCCAATAATTCCACTCAACCCAACCTTTGGGGTCCAATAATTGGACCAAGGTTGGGTTCCAACCTCAAAACTGGGTTACCCCTGGTTGTACACCCAAAATAAGTTTGGGTGCTTATCTCTAGCCTATCCTATAGCATATATGCAGGTTACAAGAGGAGAGGAATTCTAACACATTCCTGCATGTGCCATCGTCCCTGCGTGTGTCATCGTCCCCTGCATGCGCCATCAACCCACTGCATGGCCCACAGGGCATCGCCTGCTCTGCTCCTCTGCCCCTCAACTCAAGGCTGCTCGTCAACTCCACAGAGCAACCCTGCTCTGTCTTCTACAACACCTTGCTCGTGAGGACTCCATCCGGGGGTTATCCTTAGCCATGGGCCACTGCGCATGGACGCAGCACACAGCACACAGCAGCTCTGTGACTCCACGAACTGCTAAACCACAGTTTGCTTGACACCTTACGTCCAACGTGCTTCTTCCGTTCGAAGAAATGATGTTCCATTCAGCCCGATTATCGACCCACTCTCGATTAGCCTTTGCTCTGTCAATCCGTGCTTGTCTGTGATGTCCTTCTTCCTCCCCATGTCCCTCCAGGGCGACACGTGTGCGGGGGTGGGGCGGCAGGTGGGACTGTGTTGGCCGGCAGCGTCCGATGCGGAGTGTGAGGCGGCATTTCAGGCGCTCAACCCCGCTGTCAACTGCTCCTCCCTCAGGCCCTCCCAGGCCGTGTGCATCGAGAGGGACCCCGGGGTGGCGAATGTGACAGTGGTGTGCGACCAGTACTACCGGGCGCGCCTCAACGACACGTGCGACAGCATAAGGCAGCTGGCCGAGCCTCCTCTCAGCCCCGTGGACTTCTACCGCCTCAACCCCGGCGTCAACTGCAACCAGCTCATCCCCCTCAAGGGATACGCTGGCTCCACCACTTCAAGAAATTCTTTTGGTGCGGAGGTGAGTCACTGTGGTGCATGGAGTAGGGTGCATGCAGCATGATGGATGGGGATAGTGTAGCAATGTGGTGCAAGGTCTTCCATGGAGGAAGAGACTGGAGATACAAGTTAGCTAAGCAATTGAGTGAGACACCCAAGTCAAGTTGACGGCTCAGTTATTCAGGCGCTGTGGATAACTGGCGAGCAGTTGGCGCGAGGTACGTGTGGACAGCCCCAGATGGTCGCATGCCAGTAGTGCATAATTGGTCAAGGATGGCATAATCAACGGGTGGTGTGCAGTCGGGGGACATTGAGAAGGTGGCCCAACAAATGTTGATTTCGGAGAAACGTCAAAGCATAATCGGAAAGTCTAAGGATGTTGGATTTAGAGCAAATTCTAGTCTACCCCAACAGGATGGGATGGGAACCCTGACCACAGTTGCAAACTCGCACCGGTGAGATAGAGATAACTGACAAGCAAATCAGGAATGAAGCCACTATGAGAAAACGGATGAAGGGATGATATTTGTCATGCCAGAGTCATGCTGAGTGGAGTTTAGGCTCATGCCAGCAGCGCTGCAAACCAGTGTCATTCAAGCACTCGATGTTTGTGTGCTTTGCCCTCTGCAAATGCCCGTTGTTCCCTGCTGCTGCTTTTCCCTGCATTCCCTACTCCACTCCACGAGCCACTTCTCTTGTGGCTGCAGGTGTGCATTGGCAGCACGACCAGCTTCTTAGCAGGCATCTGTTCCAGGACCAGCACATACACCCTCTCACCAGGGGATGACTGCAAGTACATCAATGTGAAGTACTTCTACAGCATCAAGGGCTGCTACAGGAGATTGAATGGTTACGAATGCTTAGATAAGTTAAAGCCTGGAGTCAAGATTTGCACGCCAAGTCCAAACAAGGCGAGAATGGGGAGTTGCAGCATTTGATCATAATGGCCGTCTGCCTCTACGCTACCGTCATCGCCCGGATATAAGACATATATGTCTTATCTCGTACACGGGCAAAAATGCTTGAGTTATCTTGTATTTGGGATGGTTTAGAGTGTCTTCTAAGTCTTATAAATGAAAAAATATTAAGTAGTCTGTAACATTTGCAAAGTGTGTAGAAACCACCCAGGTGTTGGGCTGAAAAAGCCCTTAGGATCTTTGCAGGGGTGAACTCTGGGTAGGAACAGTGTAATAACGGAAGCGTTTAATGATGAAATTGTGAACCACCTTGCGCTAGTGTGTGAGGGCAAAGTAAGTTAATTAAAGCAAAGAGATACAAGATTATATAAGAGTACAAGGAATATGAAAAGGTACAACTATAACTGTTTTATTGTTGCTGTTGCGGTTCGATACAGTGACGACTCGGGCAACTGCTCTGTAACGAGTCAGTTGTGTGTCCTTGCTGTCGCACTGTACTAGTCAGGTCAAAGGTCGCTGACCTTTGACTTTCGCGTAACCTCCAGCGGTTACTTCAACCTCCGAGGGTTGACTCGCCGGTGCTTCGATATGCTTTGCTTCGCTTGTGACTTGGTGTTTCGCCACGACAGAAGCGCTTTAAATCAATTGTTTCCAACACCAGGGGCCAGATTCATTGAAACAGGCCGACCTCGGTGGTGATGCATGCAGCGCCCACACTTGCCACGTGAGGGATGCAGCAAAGCTGCCACCGCTGACAACATTCCTCCGTGCTGGCAGCATCTAATGATGTTGCCAGCGTCGTTTTGCTGCCAGCAGCGCATGGATCCTTCCATAACGCTGCTGGCAGCACGATGGCTGCGTGAGGGTTGTCTTCTACGAGGAGATGCCTCGTAGAGGAGCGGCTCGGCATCTTTGGAAGGGGCACTCTGGCTGGGGGGAGTAGTCGGGCTCGTGCTTCATTTGGTGCTCAAGGAGGTTAAATACTCAACTCAACCTTGCTCTCGGCAGGCTTTCTTACCATGCGCAGCAAAGTACCCGTAGGCACGTCCTCACCTCGTCCTCACATGCAGGTGAATAACTACGGGCGAATTAACTCGCCCGGCGATGATATCCGTGTAGCCATGGCGAAGGGCGCAAGGAGGGCGGAAAGATCTACCGCCGCCTCCGAAGCGAGCTATGACGGGGACGACGGCGACGAAGAACACGGCAACGACGCCGAGGAGGATTGGCCAGAGAACGGCCACGACGACAGCGCTTCGGGGGACGAATTACCTCCTGCCGACATCGAGGATGACGAATAGTGGAATCGGCCCGTCGGGAGTGACGACGAAGTAGAAGAGTGGCGGGCTGGTGATTCGGACAACGATGGAGGTGCCGATGCTGATGGTGACCTCGCGGAGGCAGCGGCGCATGCACCGGGAGCGACGGCGGATGCGAATGCGGAGGCTGACGGCGAGGCGGAAGCGGATGCCGAGGCAGTTGCGCCCGCAGAGGTGGCCGCCATTGCGGATGCGGATGCAGTGGCGGAGGCAGACAAGGTTGCCGCGGAGGGGTTTGCTGATGCCGTCTTATTTGACGGTGAAAGCGAGGACGACGACCCATGGTGCATAGTGGCGGACGACGATGTTCCGCTCTTGAAGCGGAGGCTGCGCCATCGCCTACAGTCCAAGCCGAAGCGTGCCCGCGTGGTGCTCTCTGACGACCACACTCCGGGGATGGAGCGCCGCCCGATACTCACCGCTGCAGAGAAGGGTAAAACCAAGGTCGCGGAAGCCCCTCCTAATGCCATTGTTCGTCGCCGCACAAGCAACAAGAAGCGGAAAACCGACGGCGACCCTGGATCCAGCAAGGGTGCTGCTAAGAAGAAGGTGAAGAAGACGCCAAATCCGGATGACATCGTGGTCAACGAGACGCTGGGCAGCGACGATGAATACGCGGAAGCGGCGGGCCCGATTCCTTCATTCCCTGAGAAGCCCACGCCGAAAGACCCCACCCTCCATAATCCCAACACCCACCCACCTTCCCCTCGCAGCAAGGACACTACGAAAAGGCGACGCGGATGGACGGTACGCGAGAAGCTGAAGTGGGCGCGCCGCTATTAGGAGCTCGGCTCCTTGAAGAAGACGAGCATGGAATCAACCGCATCCATCGCCTGCATCAGACGCTGGAGCAAGCGGATGCACGGGGGGGCCCGCCACGCACACTACCCCGACATGGAGGCGGCGTTGTACCGCTACATCTGCCTGCAGCGCGCTAACGGGGTGGCCATCTCGGTGAAGGACACCCAGAAGTGGAGCCGCGAGTGGATGAAGAAACACCACCCCGACAAGAACTAGAACGCGAGCTCTCACTGGAGCCAGCGTTTCCGTGACCGCTGGAACCTGGTCATGCGAGTGAAGACCAAGGTCAGCCAACGTTTATCGGCAGGTGAATAATGAAGGAATTTGTTTCGCGCTCGATGCTTGAGTGCAAGTACCTAGCCCAGTTTCTAACAATCCCTTGCTTCCGTGGCTTATGTTCCATTTGCAGAGTGCGCTAAGGACTGCGAGTCCTTCTGGAAGTTCGTGCGCATCAACAGGGCGCGGCACAACATTGACCTGGCCCGCATCATTAACGCGGACCAGACGCCACTATTCGTGGAGATGCCGGCCGAGAGGACGATCGAGCACCGTGGCGCGCGCTCGGTCCCAATCCGCATCGCAAGCTACCAGAAGACGCGCTTGACAGTGATGCTCGCGTGCACCGCATATGGGGAGAAGCTGCGGCCGTGGGTGTGGTTCATGCTGAAGAACGTACCCAACTGTGAGATTCCGGAAGGTAAGCTCAAGGAATTCAAAAGCCAAATGCCTGATAAGCTTGCCCTCGTTGGCTGATGCCCGTTTGTCCCCTATGTGTCTGGCAGGAATCGTGGCCCAAGCACAGGACAACGGGTGGATGGACGAGAGCGCTGTGCAGACCTGGCTGACGAAGGAGGTGCTGCCGCATCTGAACCCCCAGCGCGGCCAGAACGCGAGGCATGCGATGCTGGTGTTGGACTCCTACCGCGGCCACATCACCCAGACCATGCTTCAGTCGTACCGCACGCACAGCATCACCCCTGCAGTTATCCCAGTGGGTTGTACAAGCCAGATTCAACCCCTGGATGTCTCCATCAACCGGTTCTTCAAGGCTGCCGTGCGAGCGCGCTACGCCAAGTGGTTCATGCGTGAAGGAATTCACCTGAAGACGAAGAAGGGTGAGTAATGCTCCGGACTAAAACTCTGCTCTGTTTCCTATCCATGTCTCTTACGACTCGCTGCCCCTGCCTCTGTGCCACCTGTAGGGAACCTGCGGAGGCCTCCGCACCCCGTGGTGCTGCAGTGGATCGCGGAAGCTTGGGATCAAGTCCCCAAGCAGGTCATCATTGACGCGTTCCGCCACTGTGGGATTTCAAGCAAGCTAGACGGAACGGAGAACCACCTGGTGATGTCGCATCTGCGCGCCAAGAGCACCACCGACGTATCCGAGGACATGTGCCTCGGGGGGACCACAGGCGACAACACGCGCCTGCTTGGTCAGGCTCCAGAGGAGGAGGAGGAGGAGGAGGAGGAGGAGGAGGAGGAGGAGGAGGAGGAGGAGGAGGAGGAGGAGGAGGAGGAGGAGGAGGAGGAGGAGGAGGAGGGGATGCAGGGCGAGGGCGTGAGGGAGGTGGCCGTGGCAACTGGCCTGGAGGTGCTGTACCAGGAGACCCCCAACTACCGCGGAGCGGCGGCCGAGGCTGACCGCATGATCGAGCCTAGGGAGACGGCTAGGCATGCCTGGCGAGTGCCAGATTTGGGAGTTAGAGAGCCTGTTGTTAGTGCAGGTGAGGAGGCGGTGACTGAGGGGGTCTAGGTAGAAGTAAAGATTCATGAATGTATGTATGTACCCCCCTAATGAAAGCAAGGATCGTTTAGAAGACACGCCCTGTTCATAAGAAAACCCCTAAACCCCGGTTCTGATTATAAAACATATATGTCTTATCTCGTACACACAAATAGGTGTCTTATAATAAGGCTAGCCTGTTTATAAGAGACACCCGGATAATAGACAACCCCTGTCTACTATTCAACACTGTCTACTATCCGGGCGATGACGATATGTATATAACACTCTGTTGTTCTTGGCCAGCCACTAGAATTGCACTTTCGCTTCAGCGTGGCTCTATAAGTTTGGTGGAGCTGGTGGTGGTGGTGTGGAGAGGGACCGTTACATAAACAAAAATGAGGTACTGTTAAAAAATAAAAGCAATTGCACATTATAATTCTCTCATTTGTCATACTCTCTCGTGTCAAAGGCGTAATAATCTGAAGTAAAGCTTTATAGGATAGTGTTAGGTTGATCGCACAGAGTGTAGTAGTGGAAGGCTGCTTGTGATTGGGTACGGACCCTGTCAGTAGAGGGAGTTTTGAAACTCGACAGTAGTGACTAAAACAATATCATACTGTGGTTAATATGGGAATTTAGGCAAATACCGTCTGGCCCCGGATAGTAGCGCATATGCGCTTATAATAAAATCACGTTTTTTTAGGGGGCGCTTGTAATCAAGTAACAGCCATAACCGCCGGCGCCTATATAATGTCAAAAATGAAAATTGTTTGTAAGGGTGCCGAAATGAAGCCCTTAATAAGGCGAACACTCCTGTGTGCCGTTCACGTGGGATCATGCATGGAATCCCGGCGAAACTTGCCGCGATTCGATTTCCCACCGCACATAACCCATCCCGGAGCAATGCACCTGCCAGTGCTGACACATAACATGCCGTGCAGTCCAATCGGTTTGTCATGCGCTGCCAGGCAAGACCATTATCCGAACCCTCTCGAAGGGCGTGGAATATGCCCTGCTAGCGCAGCATGTCTGGTGCCATGAACCCTCCTCTGCGGGTTCAGGCAGGGTGGGGTGTTTCCGTCTTTCATTGACAAGGATCCCGAACCGCAAATCCGAAAGGGTCCCCTCCAATCTTTCATTTCTTCATTCATTTGTTCAGTTTCTTATCCAGTTTCACATTCTCGCCCGCTTGGCTGCGGAAGCCATGGAGGAATTCCTAGGCGCGCACTTTATTTTCAAAAAGAAACCTACCAGTAGGCCTGCATATAGAGTTGACGCTGATGGGTGGTATACCTGTATCCCACCAGAATCATCGGAGCCACCACAACCTCCTGCGCCTCCTGCTCCACCTGCTCCTCCTGCGCCTCCTATGCCTCCTGCGCCTCCTGCTCCCCCTGCTCATCCGTATCAGGTGTTTCCTCAACCCACGGACAATCAGCCCGTGCTCACGCTCCTGCTCCCTTTGTTGTTCGATGAGTACCTGTTGGAACCGGATGACAACAAGCTGCCAGATGTTTATGTACTGGCTCCGGCTCCAGCACCATGATGGGGCCAGCCCGAAGATTGTACGTGGGACGAATCTGCACTCGGCGCTGATGGTGATGTGGCCGAAGCTGACGACGAGTGGCGTGCAGAGCGCGACAACGGCGCCGAGGCTGGCACAGGGACTGGAACCGAGGCTGGCACCGCGGCCGATGTGTTTCCCAAGGATGCCCCTGGCGGCAACGACGACGACGGCGTCGAATTCTGGTCACGCGATGGGCTTCCCGAGAAACTCCTGATACCATCTTATACTCCTGTTAATCGCAAGCGACCTCACCCTTCTGTTGAGAACCATGATGCTCGCCCCCCCTCTCCCAGGCACAAAGTCAACCAGCATAAGCGTCAAGCTTATACTTCTCAAGAGAAACTGCCGTGGGTCGCGCGGCTGGATGTGGGAGTGTCGATGCATTCGTTGTCTCACGAAAGTGGCATCCACCGCAAGTGCCTCACAGAGTGGAAGGGAGCTGCCGACTTCCTCAAGGAATTTCACTCCGCACGGAAGCGCATGCACGGTCGCGGGAGGTCTTCTTGTTACCGCCCGATGGAACTGAAGGTGTGCGAGAAGCTACTGAAGTGGTGCCGCAAGGGAACTGCCGTCTCCGTCGGCCGTCTGCAGAAGTGGTCGCACGAGTTCATGGAACAGCTCTACCCCCACATGAATTGAAAGGGCAGCCAAAGGTGGTCGGAGCGGTTTCAAAGGCGGTGGAAACTGAGCGTCCGCATGAAGACAAGGGTTGCCCAGAAAACCGCCAAGTGTAAGCATTAAGTTCAGCCTGTGTGGCTTATTGCTACAGCTGTACTAACCCATCGTGTTCCCCCTTCGCCTTTGTGTTTAAGAGATGTCGCGAAGATGTGCCGAAAGTTCTGGCAGTTCGTCCGTGACAAACAACGTAAGCGCAGCATTGAAACCACGTGGATCATCAATACCGACAAACAAAGACAATGCCGAGAGGAGATTTCCCTCCTGGTAAGTGATGTTTGTTGTTTTCAATGCTTGATTCCTTGCTTTAAACTCCCTGAATTTTAACTTCGTGCTCTTTATTGTGCTGATGTCGAGGTGGCGTGCCACGAGAACGGGTGGATGGATGCCGACGGTGCCATTCGATGGCTTGAGGAGTGCCTTAAGTCTTTTCTAAGGCCTCGGTTCGGCAGGCAGGCAAGGAGCTTGATGGTAGTTCTCGACTCCTACCGCGGTCACCTCACTGAGGCGATGAAGGCAAAATTCGCCTCAACATCGTCCCCGCGGTGATCCCGGCGGGCTGCACGGTGGAGGTTCAGCCCCTCGACGTGTCGATCAACAAGTTGTTCAAGGCCCCCAACCGCCAGCAGTACCAGAAGTGGTTTGAGGAGGAGGGCCAAGAGCGACTAACAGCAGCAGGTACGCTACAGTATCAACCTGTGTTCATTGCGAGCTTTTTTAACTCCCCCCTTTGTTGAACTAACCATCGTCCCCGCCTTCTATGGTCGTGAGATGGATCTCACGGGCATGGAAGGCAGTTCCCGCCGACCTCATCAAGCAAGCTTTCCTCACCTGTGGCAAACTTCTTGCCACCAACTTCTTGCCACCAGGCTGGGATACGACCTCAGGGCCAGCTTGTTTTGTCACAACTTCGGCCAATGTGTACCATTGAATAGCTTGAGGGTAACGATCAAGTCTCCATCTTCGTGTGGTAAGGGAAGTGGTGGAGCACTTATCAACTAATGCTTTGTAGCAATTGAGAAACCGTACACCATACAAAAAATGGAAATCTAATGTGTTGTAACGTCGGCTGCTTGCCTGCAAAATTGCAAGCATCGCGCCTCCACAGAAACAAGTCTCGCGAAGACAACATTCGCGGTGCAAATCACGACGGCGTGCGATGCGTGCGATCCCATTCCTTCCATTCCCCAGGGATATGGATGACGCGCGGCTGGTTTGGGTGCTGCGATGTGGTGTGGTGTGATCGTCATCGCGCCTCGAGTCTCTGTCAAGATGCCCGGTTGGGATAGGAGTCTGGTGTTTGATGCGTTTTCACTCGGTTCAGTAGATATCTGAACGGTGATGCATCATCATTCGCTGTTCCATGCCGGTGAGAAATCGCGAGAGGACCGCGTAATTTGAAATTTCAAACTCAACTCCTTTTCCACCCTCACTTCTTGCCTTCTCTAGCTCTGACCAAGCCTCCCCTTTCTCTTTCACTCCTGCGATATCCTCTACCTCCGCGGCTCACAGCGCCAGACAGTCTCGTACCTTTCTTCCTTCGAAGGCTTTCACAAAATTCACAACGTGCGGCTCCTTCGTCTGTCTACCGCGCAACTTCGACGACGTGGCGTCTGAAATGGAAGCGTTCAACATCGGTTCGTCACCACCTGGGCCACGCCGCCTCGGAAACGATCCTTTCGCGCGTCTCTCAGACGATCTCGTCGCTCACATACTCGCTCTCGTCGCCTCCAACGGATTCCGTTTCCACCCCAAACCGTGCCTCACAACCGCCGCTGCCACTTCTGACGCCGCCACTACCGCCGCCGCTGTCGCCGTTTCTGCCGCTGCGGAGGCTAATGCCGGTGGGGACGGGAGTGACGGTGCCGGCAACATCGAGGACGGCGATGCTCGTGGCGAAAAGAGCGACGACGAGCTGCACGAGTTCATCGCGCGGGCAGTGGAGAAACCGTGCGCGCGTTTTGTACGCGTTATTGAGCTCACCACCGCCATAGCTCGCGAGGCCGCAGCGACAGCCGCCAACTACGCTCGAACCATGACGGTCCCTATCGACCCGGACAAACCGAACTCACCGTCAGCTGTGCATTTCCTCGCCTCCGCCTTTCCGCCCACCCCCTCCGGGACCTCCGCGCCCTTTCCACCTCCGCCTCCCTGTCCGCTTCCGCCTCCGCCGTTCACGGTGTTCCACCACGCGCTCGTGTGCAAGCGCTGGCTCCGCTTGGCGCGCTTCAGCCTCCCCGCCATCCTCCTGCAAGCCGACCGCCGCCTTTCCACCCAAACCTTCCGCTCCTTCCTCTCCTCCCCACCTCTTCCTTCCGCCTCATCCCCTCCCCTACCCCTCTCCCTCTCCCTTGCCCCTCCCACTCCCGCCTCCGCCTCCGCCGTTTCCCCCTCCTTTCCCCTGCACTCCCCGCTCACCCTGCAGCACCTGCACATCGGCCCATCGGCGCTAGACGCCATAACAGACGATCTCCTTCACTCCATCGCCACGGGATGCGCGCGCTCCCTCACGCACATGTCGCTGTATCGCCACAGGAACCTGCGCTCCTGGCAGCGAGAACTCCGCGTTGAATACCCTGACGACGCCGTCGCGACAGTAACAGAGCCTGCCGTTACCGCCCTTTTCGCCGCCTGCCACCGCCTGGTCAGCCTGAAACTCACGCTGCCTCTGTGCCTGCCCGAGCTGCCTGCTTCTGTGAGTCTCCTGCAGCGGCTGACGAGACTGGAAGTTTCGTGCGGCCAGCTCGATTATTTTTCCAGGGCGGTCGATGATGGTGATGATGATGCCGCTGCGGCGTCAGAGCCCGAGGCGCGGTTCCCCGAGGGCATTGGCTCGTTGTCCGCGTTACGGTCGCTTAGCATCCGCGCTGCTTGCATACGCGCCCTCCCGCACACCATCTCCCGCCTCCGCTCCCTCACCTCGCTGAAACTCGACGGCTGCTTTTCCCTCCGGCAGCTGCCCGACGGTGTCGGGCAGCTAAAAAATCTGCAACACCTGGAAGTGGCGGGCTCATTTCACATGCAATCCCTGCCTGACTCTATCGGCCTCTTATCGTCCCTCGAAACCCTCCACCTGCGCGCGATCGCTGTCAGCACTTTCCCAGACTCCTTCGCCCACCTCTCCTCGCTCAAACGCCTCTTTATATCCAGCATCCCGCACCTCCGATCGCTGCCTGACTGCGTCGGAAAGCTGCGTTGGTGACTAGAAGGGAAGATCGGGGGCTAGGTGTAGCAACCTACGTGTTTGACCCGGTTCGTTCCTACGATGACGGAAATACGCTAAGAACCGCTTTCACTGACCTCCCGAGCACGTTCGGGCAGCTCGCGAAATCTTTAACTGCCCTAGAGATTCACGGGTGCCACGAGCTTCAGCAGCTGCCAGCATCGTTCACCCAGCTGACTCGCCTGCAGCGGCTTTGTATTTCCAACTGTAGCAAGCTGAGGGGAATGCCAGCAGGGTGGGGCAACCTTGTGGGCTTGCAGGAGTTGGAGCTCTCTCGCTGCAAGCTGCTGCGGACGCTGCCACCACTTACCCCCCCTCCTCCTGCTGCCACTGCTGCTATGGAAACTGCGGCTGCTGCTGCTGCTGCTGCTGCTGCTGCTGCTGCTGCTGCTGCTGCTGCTGCTGCTGCTGCTGCTGCTGCTGCTGCTGCTGCTGCTGCTGCTGCTGCTGCTGCTGCTGCTGCTGCTGCTGCTGCTGCTGCTGCTGCTGCTGCTGCTGCTGCTGCTGCTGCTGCTGCTGCTGCTGCTGCTGCTGCTGTTTCTGCTTCTGCTGCGTCTTCTACAGGCGCTGCTGCCTCCCATGTTCCCCTAACTGCTCATGCCCCCCATCCACCTCCTCAGCCTTCAACCCAGCCCTCCTCTCCCCACCCCCTCCCGTCCCTCCACCGCCTCCTCATCCTCAAAAACCCCTCCCTCGCCTCCCTCCCTTCAGGTCTCCACCTCCTCCCCTCCCTGCTCCACCTAGAGATCCGTGACTGTGTCAACTTCACCAGACTCCCCCCGCAACACCCGCCCTCTCCCTTCCCAGCCACCCTGCAAACCCTAATCCTGTCCAACACGCTACGGAGCACCAGCGACATGCAGCAAGCCATCTCCCACCTCTCCTCGCTCCAGCACTTGCGCATCGAGCACAGCCCGTCTCTCAATTCTTTTCCCATTGCATCCTCCCTGGAATGCCTTTCTCTCTATGACTTGTCCCGTATCTCCCCCCTCTCAACACCCAACATCCACACACTACAGAAACTGAAAATCCTGACCCTGCACACCCTCCCCCTGCTCTCCCTGCTCCCTCCTTCCATCACAGCCCTCACTCACCTCCAGCGCCTTCATCTCAGCCACATGGAAATTTTCAACCTGCCCGAGGGCCTCGGGCAGATGCAAGGCCTGCGCGCTTTAACCTTAGACAATGCGCCGAAGCTATCAACGCTGCCCGTCTCCCTCACCCTCCTCACCTCTCTGGAGCACCTCATGGTCTCTGACTGTGAGAGCTTTTCCTTTCTACCAGAAGACGGATTCGGCAATCTCGCCTCTCTCATCTCTCACGCTAAAGAACCTGCCTCGGCTGCTCAAGCTGCCCGCGGCTATCTCTCGCCTGGCTTCGCTGCATGTGCTGAACGTGGAGAAGTGCGAAAGGTTGAGCGAGCTACCCGAGGGGTTGGAGAGCGCGAGGAGCTTGCGGGAGGTGCATTTAGAGAGATGCAGGGATTTGAAGGACTTGCCTGAGGCGCTGCTGGCATGCGCAGGAAGGATTCAGATGCATAGATACAGCAGTAGAATGAAGTTTTGACAGCTTGTAATGCGTTTTTTTTTTTTTTTTCTTTCTTTTACTGAGCTGTTCGGTTATGCCATGGTTGATTTGAGTTTGAAATGATGGGCTTTGAGTCTTGAATGGTGTTCACCAGATTTAGCAACATGCTACCGTATCACCCCGGATATAAGCGCATATGCGCTTATAAAAAAAAAACTCATTTTTTTGAGGGGGGCCGCTTGTAATTGAGTGTCGGCCATAAGCGCCGGCGCTTATATAATAGCAAATACATAAATACCGTAATCCCTCGTATATAAGACCCTAGGGTATTATGATAATCACCCCTAAAAAGGCTGGGGGGTATAATTAATGTCAGAATCTAGCAGCAGGAATGGATGAACTAGCAGGATGCAGGAGTACAAGTAGTAAACCCTAATTGGGCTGTACCCCATATGGGCTACCCCACTACAGCCTAGACAATATGCAGCATATATGTTTGACACACCCCCATAGGCAAAGTGGGGGAGAACAAGGGGTCAAACGACCAGTCAAGAGAAGCAAAGCAAGCTCAGGGTGGATCTCAACGTCACCACACATTCTGAGCACAAGCAAAGGGCCACAAGGCCAGTCCACATGCAGAGATATATATGTGTCAAACATATTTATATGGGTTATATTACTGGTAGGCTGTAGTGGGGTAGATTCTGTGGGGTATAACCCCTTAGGGTTTTCCTACTTGTAAAATTTCTCTCGATAGTGAACTTCACCTTGCCTAGCTATCTCAACATGGCATCTAGAGCAATGGTCCTAAGGACCTAAGATTGGGGCCCACCTACTCATGAGTTACTTTCCCTACAGCTATACCTACGTGCCTACCTTGCCTGCTGCCCGCGCGCGCCTCGGCTGCATGCGCGCGTGCATTTTTTTTTAGCGCGCCCCGCTGCCTTAGCCGCCCGCGTGCTCGCTGCTGTCGCGCGCAGCTCGTCACCGCGCGCAGCCCGCCGCCACGCGCGACCCGCCGCCGCGTGCAGCCAGTAGCCACGCGCAGCCCGCAGCCGCGCGCAGCCCGTCGCCGCGCGCAGCCCGCAGCCGCGCGCAGCCCGTCGCCGCGCGCAGCTAGCTGCCACGCGCAGCCCGCAGCCGCGCGCAGCCCGCTGCCGCGCGCAGCCCGCAGCCGCGCGCAGCCCGCAGCCGCGCGTGCCCTGCCCTGCCTGTGCGCCACTGCCTCGACCTGAGCGCTTAGCCGCCCGTGAGTCGTGCGCTTGCCTGCCTTACGCGCTTGCCTGCCTAGAGTGCGCCTGCCTGCTTTGCGCTTACCTGCCTGGAGAGCGCTTGCCTGCCTTACGCGGTTGCCTTTCCTGGAGTGCGCCTGCCTGCCTTGCGCTTGCCTGCCTGGAGTGCGCTTGCCTGCTGCCTGAGCCTGCTGCCTGCACCTGCTACTTCTGCCTGCGCTGCAACCATGGCGACCCTTACTGTTCTCGCCTTTGAGCCTGACGGCCGCCCCATCGAGTTTGACACCTGGCTTAGTGATCTGCGGCTTTACCTTATGACTGACGTCGCAGACGGAGTATCACTGCTAGCCTATGTGACCGGCACTGTCCCTACTCCCGCTGAGACTGCTCCTGCCCCTGAACGAGCACAGTGGGAGCTCCGCGATGCAGTCGCGCGCCTTGTTATTCGCAATCACCTACCGATCTCTGAGCGTGCACATTTCAACCAGCTTAAGACTGCTAAGACGCTGTATGATGCTGTCGTTGCCCGCTATTCCGCCCCGGCCACAGCCACCGTTGGTAGTCTCATCCTGCCTTACCTGTTCCCAGACTTAGCCTCGTTTCACACTGCTGCCGACCTTATCACTCACCTCCGCGCTAGTGACGCCCGCTTTCGAGCTGCTCTCACCGACGAGTTCCTCGCCACTAACACCCCCCCGCTGTACTTTACCCTCTACATCCTCGTCACCCGCCTCCCTGACACTCTTCGTTCTGTCAGGGATCACTTCCTTGCCAAGGATCCTACCGCTATCACTCTGGACGACTTCGCGCAGCAGCTGCTCGCAGCAGAGAAGAACATCCTCGCTGTCGGTGCTGCTCGTGGCACTCCCCGCACTCCCCTCTTTGAGGGGTGCTCCCCCTCCCCTCTTGACCCCTCCTACGCCTCTGCTGCTACTGCTGTCGACTTCCTCGGTGCGGAGAAGGTCGCAGCGGCTTCCGCTCCTGGTGGGAAGCGTGGTGGTGGCAGGGGCGGCAAGGGTGGCAGGGGTGGCGGAGGTGGCGGTGGAGGGAGCGGTGGTGGAGGCGGCGGGGGTGGTGGAGGTGGTGGGGGTGGCCGTGGGGGTGGAGGCGGTGGGTGGGGTGGCGGCAGGACCGGGGGCGGTGGAGGCGGCAGCGGCGGTGGTGGGGGAGGAGGCAGCGGCAGTGGTGGGGGAGGAGGCAGCGGCAGTGGCGGTGGAGGTGGGAGTGGGGGTGGATCTGGGGCTTGGGGTGCTGCGTCTGGAGGTGCTGCTGCTGGAGACACTGAGACTGGAGACCCTGGGACTGGAGGTGCTGGTTCTGGGGGTGCTGCTGCTGGAGACACTGCGGTTGGAGACCCTGGGACTGGAGGTGTCGGTTCTGGGGCTGGAGCTTCTGGAGCTGCTGGAGGTTCTGGAGCTGCTGGAGCTACTGGTACTGGTGCAGCTGCGCCGACACGACTGTTCTTCGCTCCGCCGTCTCCGTCGTCTCTGCCGCCGCCTGACTCTGCTCTTCGTCAGGTTGTTACTCTTCCCTCGCCTACTGGTCTTCCGTTACAGCCTGGCTCACCGCTGCCTGCTCCCTCTCCTTACACTGAGCAGACAGGTAGTCCTGCTGAGCGTCGTGAGCCTGCGTCGCGTCCTGTCTCGCCTGTTCGTCCTGGTCATACCGGTCGTCGTGTTCCTCGTTCGCGTCAGCCGGCTGTCCCCAGCGCACACCTCGTAGTCCGTCGTCCTTCCTCTGCTCCGCAGCCTGTTCCTCTGCCGTCTCCTCCTGCGTCCTCTTTGCCTGACGTTCCGGACCCTGAGTCTGACCGGTTTCGTGCTGAGCACCCTACTGTCACGCGTCTGCTAGCCACTGTTGTCACTGACCCGTCGTTTGAGTCTACTGCTGCGTCTGCTCTTGTCGCTGAGCTTGTTGACTTTGCTGCTACCTGTCGTCTAGACTTTGCTGCTGGTCTTGTTGCTGAGTCTGAGTCTGTCTGTCCTCCGTCCGTCGGGGGTGAGTGTGCTCTGGGCACGGACGTCCTTGAGGACAGACAGGAGGAGTTCCAGTGCTTTGCTGCTGCTTTGCCCCATCTCGTGTCCATGCTAGTTGCCCTTGAGGGAGACCCGGATGCACCAGACATCCCGACTCCGCGCTCTTACGCAGAGGCGATGGAGGGTCCCTACTCCTCTCAGTGGCAGACAGCCATGGACGCAGAGATGGCTTCCTGGAAGTCCACAGGCACCTACGTCGACGAGGTTCCCCCACCTGGGGCGAACATCGTCAGTGGTATGTGGATTTTCAGGGTGAAGCGGCCGCCGGGTTCTCCTCCTGTCTTCAAGGCGTGCTACGTTGCTCGAGGCTTCAGTCAGCGAGAGGGAGTAGACTTCTTCCAGACCTTCTCCCCCAACCCGAAGATGACCACTCTTCGGGTGCTGCTGCACATTGCCGCTCAGCGTGACTACGAGCTTCACTCTCTTGACTTCAGCACAGCCTTCTTACAGGGCAGCCTGCACGAGGAGATCTGGCTGCGCCGCCCACCTGGCTTCACTGGGTCATTCCCTCCTGGTACCCAGTGGAGCCTCCGGCGGCCAGTCTACGGTCTCTGCCAGGCGCCACGTGAGTGGCACGACACACTGAGGACTACACTTGCGGCTCTTGGGTTCGCTCCTTCGACTGCTGACCCGTCGCTGTTCCTGCACACCGACACTTCGCTGCCACCGTTCTACATCCTCGTGTACGTCGACGACTTGGTTTTTGCCACTGCTGACACTGAGGCTCTCGCCCACGTGAAGTCGGAGCTGCAGAAGAGACACACGTGCATAGACCTGGGTGAGCTGCACAGTTACCTTGGCTTGCAGATCACTCGGGACAGAGCACGCCGCACCATCACACTGACTCAGTCACACATGGTGCAGCAGGTCCTTCAGCGCTTCGGCTTCACCTGGTCCTCGCCACAGCACACTCCTCTGGCTACAGGTCACTCGCTCTCAGCTCCACCTTCGGACGAGTCTGTAGAGCCGAGTGGTCCTTACCCAGAGCTAGTGGGCTGCCTCATGTACCTGATGACCTGCACTCGTCCTGACCTTGCGTACCCTCTTGGCCTTCTCGCTCGCTATGTGGCTCCTGGTAGGCACCGACCAGAGCACATGGCTGCTGCTAAGAGGGTACTGCGCTACTTGTGCAGTACATCGGGCATGGGGCTCGTGCTTGGAGGACAGAGTGAGGTGATCCTCACTGGGCACTCAGACGCGTCTTGGGTTGACGACCAGGCTACACAGCGGTCGTCACAGGGTTACACCTTCAGCCTTGGCTCTGGTTCTGTTTCTTGGCGGTCTACACGCTCGTCTTCTGTTCTCAGCTCCAGTTGTGAGGCTGAGATCTACGCCACCGCCATGGCTGCACAGGAGCTACGCTGGCTCACTTACCTGCTGACTGACTTGGGTGAGCGGCCTCGTTCTCCTCCAGTTCTGTACGTTGACAACAAGGCAGCCATTGCCTTGTGTGAGGAGCACAGACTGGAGCACAGAACGAAGCACATCGCTCTGCGTTACTTCCTGGCTCGAGAGTTGCAGCAGCGAGGCCAGCTTCGACTTTGTCACGTGGCCACTCGGGCCAACACTGCTGATATATTCACCAAGGCACTTCCGTCTGGTGATCATCAGCGCTTCTGTACCCTGTTAGGCCTTGTGCCTATGTTTCCACACTTGCTGTAGTCCTTGCTTGTACTGTGATCTATATATACCATATCTGCTTGTTGGTTGTTGCTAGATAGTCATCATTGTACTGTTATTGCTGCATATATATCTCTGCATGTGAACTGGCCTTGTGGCCTTTTGCTTGTGCTCAGAGTATGTGGTGACGTTGTGATCCACCCTGAGCTTGCTTTGCTTTCTTGACTGGTCTTGTGACCTCTTGCTCTCCCCCACTTTGCCTATGGGGGTGTGTCAAACATATTTATATGGGTTATATTACTGGTAGGCTGTAGTGGGGTAGATTCTGTGGGGTATAACCCCTTAGGGTTTTCCTACTTGTAAAATTTCTCTCGATAGTGAACTTCACCTTGCCTAGCTATCTCAACAATATGCAACAATAACAGTATAGTGATGACTACCTAGCAAGAGCAGGCATGCATGTATATATATATATATATATATATATATATATATATATATATATCACAGTACAAGCAGAGACTACAGCAAGTGTGGAAACGTAGGCACAAGGCCTAACAAGGTACAAAAGCGCTGATGATCACCAGACGGAAGTGCCTTGGTGAATATATCAGCAGTGTTGGCCCGAGTGGCCACGTGACGAAGACGAAGCTGGCCTCGCTGCTGCAACTCTTGAGCCAGGAAGTAACGCAGAGCAATGTGCTTCGTTCTGTGCTCCAGTCTGTGCTCCCGACACAAGGCAATGGCGGCCTTGTTGTCGACGTACAGCACTGGAGGAGAACGAGGCTGCTCTCCCAAGTCAGTCAGCAGGTAGGTGAGCCAGCGTAACTCCTGTGCAGCCATGGCTGTGGCGTAGATCTCAGCCTCACAACTGGAGCTGAGAACTGAAGACGAGCGTGTAGAACGCCACGAAACTGAACCAGAGCCAAGGCTGAAGGTGTAACCCTGTGACGACCGCTGAGTAGCCTGGTCGTCAACCCAAGAAGCGTCTGAGTGCCCAGTGAGGACAACTGGGCTCGTCCCTCCAAGCACTAGCCCCATGCCTGATGTGCTGCACAAGTAGCGCAGTACCCTCTTCGCAGCATCCATGTGCACCTTTCGGTGCCGACCAGGAGCCACGTAGCGAGCCAGAAGACCAAGAGGGTACGCGAGGTCAGGTCGAGTGCAAGTCATCAGGTACATGAGGCAGCCGACTAGCTCTGGGTAAGGACCACTTGGCTCTACGGACTCGTCCGAAGGTGGAGCTGAGAGCGTGTGACCTGTAGCCAGAGGAGTGTGCTGTGGCGAGGACCAGGTGAAGCCGAAGCGCTGAAGGACCTGCTGCACCATGTGTGACTGAGTCAAGGTGATGGTGCGGCGTGCTCTGTCCCGGGTGATCTGCAAGCCAAGGTAGCTGCGCAGCTCACCCAAGTCTGTGCACGTGTGTCTCTTCTGCAGCTCCGACTTCACGTGGGCGAGAGCCTCAGTGTCAGCAGTGGCAAAAACCAAGTCGTCGACGTACACGAGGATGTAGAACGGCGGCAGTGAAGTGTCGGTGCGCAGAAACAGCGACGGGTCAGCAGTAGAAGGCGCGAACCCAAGAGCCGCAAGCGTAGTCCTCAGTGTGTCGTGCCACTCACGTGGCGCCTGGCGGAGACCGTAGACCGGCCGCCGGAGGCTCCACTGGGTACCAGGAGGGAACGACCCAGTGAAGCCCGGGGGGCGGCGCAGCCAGATCTCCTCGTGCAGGCTGCCCTGCAAGAAAGCTGTGCTGAAGTCAAGAGAGTGAAGCTCGTAGTCACGGTGAGCAGCAACGTGCAGCAGCACCCGAAGAGTGGTCATCTTCGGGGTCAGACGGCGGCAGAGACGACGGAGACGGCGGAGCGAAGAACAGTCGTGTCGGCGCAGCTGCACCAGTACCAGCAGCTCCAGCAGCTCCAGCAGCTCCAGTGCCTCCAGCAGCTCCAGTACCCTCAGCAGCTCCAGTACCTCCAGCAGCTCCAGAAGCTCCAGTCCCAGAGCCGACACCTCCAGTCCCAGGGTCTCCAACCTCTGTGTCTCCAGCAGCAGCACCCCTAGAACCAGCACCTCCAGTCCCAGGGTCTCCACCCTCTGTGTCTCCAGCAGCAGCACCCCCAGAACCAGCACCTCCAGTCCCAGGGTCTCCAGCCTCAGTGTCTCCAGCAGCAGCACCCCCAGAGCCAGCACCTCCAGTCCCAGGGTCTCCAGCCTCAGTGTCTCCAGTACGAGCACCTCCAGAACCAGCGACTCCAGCACCTCCAGTAGACAAAGGTCCAGCACCACTCCTAGCTCCAGCAGCGCGACGCTGACGGCGACCGTACCAGTCCTGCAGCTGCTGTGGGGTGAGAGGCACACGTGGACGAAGGCGGCTACTCCAAGGAGACCGCGCAACAGCAGACTCAGAACCCTCAGCGCCCGCACCCCCAACGGCTCCAGAACCTCCGGTGTCAGTACCCTCAGCACCTGTACCTCCAGCGGCTCCAGAACCTCCAGCGCGAGCACCCTCAGCAGCTCCAGAACCTCCAGCTCCAGCGCCACCAGTACTAGGCCCTCCAGCAGCTCCCGAACCTCCAGCGCCAGCACCCTCAGTAGCTCCAGAACCTCCAGCGTCAGTACCGCCAAGCTCAGCACCCCCAGACCCCTCACACTCAGGCTCAGCACCACCAGGCTCCACACCCTCAAGCTCCGCACCCTCAGGCTCAGCACCCCCAGGCTCAGCACCCCCAGGCTCCGCACCCCCAGGCTCAACACCCCTAGAAGTAGCACCCCGAGAAGGACCACCCTCAGTAGGACCTGAGTCACCAGTGACCTCAACCGGCGCAGTCAAGGGAGGAGGGTCTACCTGAGAAACACCTGAAGGAGCAGGACCAGGAGTGGGGAGGGGGTCTACCTGGGGAGCACCTGGAGCGAGGAAGAGCGGCGGGGGGGGGGGGGGGCAGTGCGGTAGGGGAAGAGACGG